CTTGAGGTTAATGATGAGCTTGGGGAAAGCTATCACAAATCACTCAGTTTCAATATGTCATGGAATTACCCTAATAACTACAACCAAGTCAATGTTCCTAACTTTCATTTGACCAGTTTCAAAGGACTGAGAAATTACTTGTGTGAGGCGAACTGCTGTGATCTGACAAGTCATTATCCTGTGTAATCTGACAGGCCATTATCCTGTGTGATCTGACAGGTCATTATCCTGTGTAATCTGACAGGTCATTATCCTGTGTGATCTGACAGGCCATTATCCTGTGTGAATCTGACAAGGCCATTATCCTGTGTGATCTGACAGGTCATTATCCTGTGTGATCTGACAGGTCATTATCCTGTGTGATCTGACAGGTCATTATCCTGTGTGATCTGACAGGTCATTATCCTGTGTGATCTGACAGGTCATTATCCTGTGTGATCTGACAGGTCATTATCCTGTGTGATCTGACAGGTCATTATCCTGTGTGATCTGACAGGTCATTATCCTGTGTGATCTGACAGGTCATTATCCTGTGTGATCTGACAGGTCATTATCCTGTGTGATCTGACAGGTCATTATCCTGTGTGATCTGACAGGTCATTATCCTGTGTGATCTGACAGGTCATTATCCTGTGTGATCTGACAGGTCATTATCCTGTGTGATCTGACAGGTCATTATCCTGTGTGATCTGACAGGTCATTATCCTGTGTGATCTGACAGGTCATTATCCTGTGTGATCTGACAGGTCATTATCCTGTGTGATCTGACAGGTCATTATCCTGTGTGATCTGACAGGTCATTATCCTGTGTGATCTGACAGGTCATTATCCTGTGTGATCTGACAGGTCATTATCCTGTGTGATCTGACAGGTCATTATCCTGTGTGATCTGACAGGTCATTATCCTGTGTGATCTGACAGGTCATTATCCTGTTTGATCTGACAGGTCATTATCCTGTGGGTCAGGATTGATGATTGCCAATGTGACATTTTTCAGAGCATAGTTCAAGCTGACCAGGCTACTCATGCTTCAAATAAGGAAATTAGATCAAACAAAAATGGCCCTAAGTAAATAAACAATAAATTAAGCATCTCATACGTCAGAAGAGAGCCATTTACAGCCAAATCAAAAGGGAAGATGGACATTTAAGAAATAAATTATTCAACTGACAAGAGAAATAAAAGGGCAAATTAGAAAAGTCAAAATAGATTATGAAGTTAAAGCAGCAAGGAATTCCAGGATTAACCCAAAGATTAGAAAAAGATTAGAACAAGATTAGAACAAGATTAGAGACAAAGTAGTCCCACTTAAAACTTGCTCGGGTCAGCTCACTGACAGTGATAAAGAAATGTGTACAATCCTAAGCATTTATTTCCACTCAGTTTTTACTCAGGAAAATACTAGGGAAAAATCCAGAAATAAAAAATTATATAGGTCAGGACGAAAATAAGTTATACACGATGAGTCACAGTTCTTAGACAAATAGATTAGAACCAAGAAGATCCTCAGGTCCTGATGAACTGTTCTAAAGGGTCGTGAAGCAATGTAATTATGGACTTACAAAACATGTATTAATCTTTTCAAGTTATCACTGCAAATTGGCATTGTGGCAGATAATTGGAAAATGGCAAATATTATACCTATCTACAAAGCAGGAGACAGGTTCTTAGCTTCAGATTATAGATCAATTAGCCTAACATCAATTGTGGGAAATTGATGGAGTCAATAATTACTGAGGCTATTCGAAGCCATATTGAAAGACATAAATTGGCAAAGAATCTCAGCAAGATTTTACAAGGCGTAAGGCGTTCCTGTCTTACGAATTTACTTTTTCACTAAGGCATTTGAGGAAGTAGATCATGGTAATGAATATGATATTGTGTATATGGACTTCAGTAAGGCTTTTGATCGAGTTCCACATCGGAGATTGTTGAGGAAAGTAGAGATACACGGAATATGAGGAAAATATTTTTCCTGGATAGAGGCGTGATTGATAGGCAACAGAGTTTGCATAAATGGGAAGAAATCAGAATGCGGGGGCGTCACAAGCGGTGTTCTACAGGGGTCAGTGTTGGGCCCGTTGTTGTTCACAATATACGTAAACGACAAAGATGAGGGAATAAATAGTAACATAAGCCGGTGAGATGACACCAAAATAGACCGTCGAATTAATTCTAATGATGACACTAGAACACTACAGAAAGATGAAATGAGACATTTATCTGGAAAATTAATGTTTATTTGAAAAATAGACGGTAATGATATGACAGATAATTGATTTAATACGAGATATGACTACCCTTTGCTTTAATAAGCATTGCTACACGCTTTAGCATAGAATTGATCAATGTTGACCACATTTTGGCAAGTTCTTCGTCGTGGTACCAGGGCGTAATAACAACAGCAATTGGTTTCTCCACAGATGAACAGTCCTGTTTCACTATCCTGTGTTTGGTTATTGCCCATAAATTCTTAATTGGGTTGAGGTCAGGGGAGTTTCCAGGCCAATTTAGAATGCTCTCTTCGAAGAATGTCAGCATTTTTCTGGAAGTGTGTCATGAAGCAAGATCCTGCTGGAAAATGCTTTCCCCATCAGGAAAGCCTTTATCCATAATAGGAAGCCAGGATAGATTTGTATTTGTCACTGTTCATCGTTTCCTCATCAGGGCTTTTAGTAGTAAAACTACCGCAAAACATCTTCATAGGTGGATGTTTTGGCGCTTGTTGAATGAGTCCATTCTGAAGAGGTTCGCAATTGTTTCGTCTCGCTACCACTAATCTGTACCCATGTACTTCAAAATGCGCCTCATCTGAAAACAGAACTTTCCTCCATTCATCAGTCGTCCATCCCTTATGACCAAGTGCCCCCAACAACCATTTTTTCTTCACAGCAGCAGTCAATAACTGTTTCTTTGCCGGCTTTCTGGCAGTTCTGCCAACTTCAAGGAGCCTTGGTCGAACAGTTCAAGAATCAACATTTACACCAGCTCAAGCCAAATCTCTCTGTAGATCTTTGCTTTATTTCTTGGGATCCTTAACACTATTTCTTACGATAACCTTGTCACCGTGATGTGTTGTCTTGGGTTTTCTTCAACATCTTCCTCGACGAAGAGCTCCACAATCACCAGCGCCGTCAGCTCTCTTCGGAATCCGACCAACAGTTGACTTTGTTTGGTTCAAATTGGGATATAATGGCTGATTACTCAAATCAATATGTTTATTATAGAGTACAATGTACAACATCTTAGGTGTAACACCATCATGAATATCAACAGCAATCATGAATTGAGGGGAAGAATTTGGCGAAAACACATTTACTCATGGATCACACTAGCAGTAATAGTCTACATTACAACTGCTGTTGTAGCACTGAGGAGAGTTACAGGGTAACATCACAGATGGATGGTTGCCAGAAGTCGGTAGCAAACTCTTCTGAAAAGATAAGAACCCAAACTACATTAATTAAGCCAGAGACTAAGAAATACTATAAAATAATCACGAAATTTACTCCTACCCCAAATAATTTGCACACTACTGTAGATTATGCTGCACAGTTTTGCTCACCGTATTACAGAAGGGACATAAATGCGCTGGAAAACGTATAGAGAAGGATGGAAAAGTTGATTCCATGTATCAGAAATCTTCCCTATGAGGACAGACTGATGGCCCTGAATCTGCACTCTCTAGCAAGGCGTAGAATTAGGGAGGGTATGACTGAGGTGTATAAATAGAAAACAGAAATAAATAAAGGGAAAAAAACGGTTACCAGTGTCACATCAGGAAATTTTTACGATTGTGAAAAGCTTCTAAGAGTTCCAGAAGTGACTGAGTGTTGTACCTGGAGTATACCTGGAGAGGGTATCGGGGGTCAACGCCCCCGCGGTCCGGTCTGTGATCAGGCCTCATGATGGATATGGGCTTGATCAACCAGGCTATTACTCTTGGCCGCACGTAAACCCACGTACGAACCACAGCCCGGCTGATCAGGTAGTGACTTTAGGTGCCTGTCCAGAGCCTTCTTGCAGACAGTCAAGGGTCTATTGGTAATCCCCCTTATGTATGCTAGGAGGCAGTTGAACAGACTAGGGCCCCTGACACTTATTGTGTTGTCTCTTATCGTGTTAGTGACACCCCTGCTTTTCATTAGGGGGATGTTGCATCGCCTGCCGAGTCTTTTGCTTTCATAGGGAGTGATTTGGTATTAATCCCTCTAGGATTTTCCAAGCGTATATAATCATGTACCTCTCCCGCCTGCGTTACAGGGAATACAGGTCAAGGAACTTCAACTGTTGCCAGTAATTGAGGTGTTTTATCTCCGTTATGCGCGCCGTGAAGGTTCTCTGTACATTTTCTAGGTCAGCAATTTCACCTGCCTTGAAAGGTGCTGTTAGTGTGCAGCAATATTTCAGCCTAGATAGAACAAGTGACCTGAAGAGTGTCATCATGGGCTTGACATCCCTTGTTTTGAAGGTTCTCATTATCCATCCTGTCATTTTTCTAGCAGATGCGAATGATGCAATGTTGTGATCTTTGAAAGTGAGATCCTCTGACATTATCACTCTCAGGTCCTTAACATTAGTTTTTCGCTCTATCATGTGGTTGGAATTTGTTTTATACTTCGATATTGTTTTACTTTCCTGTCGTTTTCCATATCAGAGTAATTAAAATTTCTCTTCATTGAACTTCATATTGTTTTCTGCGGCCCATTTAAAGATTTGGTTGATGTCCGCCTGGAGTCTTGCAGTGTCTTCAATGGAGGACACTGTCACTCAAATTCGGGTGTCATCTGGTTTATATCCCTGTCCATGTCCGATATGAGGATGAGGAACAGGATGGGGGCGAGTACCGTGCTTTGTGGAACAGAGCTTTTCGCAGTAGCTGCCTCAAACTTCACTCTGTTTACTACTACTCTTTGTGTTCTGTTTGTTAGGAAATTATAGATCCATCTACTATCTTTTCCTGTTATTCCTTTATCACACATTTTCTGCGCTATTACACCATGGTCACATATGTCGAAGGCTCTCGCGAAGTCTGTGTATACTACATCTGCATTTTGTTTCTCTTCTAGAGCATCCAGGGCCTTGTCATTGTGGTCCAGTAACTGGGACAGACAGGAGCGACCTGCTCTAAACCCATGCTGCCCTGGGTTGTGTAACTGATGAGTATCTATGTGGGTGGTGATCTTGCTTCTTAGAACCCTTTCAAAGGTTTTTATGATATGGCATGTTAGTGTTATCGGTCTGTAGCTCTTTATTATTGCTTTACTGCCCCTTTTTTAGAATGAGGCTATGTCTGTTGTTTTTAGCAGCTGTGGGATGATCCCTGTGTCCATGTTCCCTCTCGTGGAACACGGAGTTCCACGAGTCTGGCCCTGGGGCAGAGTGTATGGGCATGTCATTTATCGCCTTTTCAAAGTCATGTGGTGTTAGGATAATATCAGATGGGTTTGAATCTACCAGATTCTGAGTCTCGGGCATAAAAAAATCATTTAGGTCTTCGACTCTCAGTCTGGTTAGCGGCTCGCTAAAAACCGAGTCATATTGGGACTTAAAGAGCTCACTTATTTCCTTGCTGTCATCTGTGTAAGACCCATCTAGTCTAAGTATGGGCCCAATATTGGATGTTGTTCTCGACTTAGGTTTGGCATAAGAAAAGAAATATTTTGGGTTTCCACGAGTGCCACAGAGTTAATTTTTTTTAGACATAGGTTTGGATTCGTGTTGCTTAGGATACCTTCCAACTTTATGTCATTTAGGACCCGATTTGGTCCCACCTTATGTTTTTGTTACTGAAGTTGAATTTGGTGAAGGCTCCCCCGTGACTGATCACATTTTCTTGGTCTGAGGCCCCGCGCATACGTGTCTGTGCAAGAAGAGTAACTAAGTGGGAAATAGCGAGCTGGATATTATTCATTAATCACGTTTTCCTTGTTTCAGTCAACGTCACCTGGGGAAGAGGGCGGTGAAGGAAGCCAAGACTCCTCGGTGAACCGAGACAACTCCTCCTACAGCTACGACTCAAGATCATCTGAATTCGTTCTCGAGAACGACGAGAAACTTCACCTGAACGCCACGCGCAACGACGACAGACCTCAGCTGCACTTACCAAGACTGGATGACACACTTCACTTCAAAGGTCCTCTACAGGAGGAACGACACATAAGCGGCTCCACCACCACCACCACAGATAGTCCCCCTTGCAAATCTTACTTCGGCAGCGAGATAAACGGTGTCTCGACGAATCAAAATGGACCAAGAACTCTTGCTTTTAGTCCCCCCCTACTGGAAAACGGCACTGACTCCATCAGCTCACTGGAAAGTGTACCCTGGAACATTGAAGGCACAGACACTATCAAAGAAAACGGATGTAAATCTCTACTGAGGAAATGGTCCTTGGCATCCGATGAGAACGGACAGGACACGAACGAACTCTCGGAGGAAGCAGAACTCAAGCAACTAAGAGAAGAAAACAAGAAACTGAGAGCTGCACTTAAAGAGGTAATCATTATATCTTTGAAACTGTAGTGAATATACATATATGTTGATTTTGTTCTAGTGTGTTCGGTATTGTTACAATTTCTTACCGTGGTTTAGTTTCTGTAATGTCAAGAATGTTCAAATTAATTGCTATTTCCCAAGGCAGCTGAGGTGAACGGACAGTGGCGCCACTACCACGAACATCGCCAGAAGTACGTTCAACGTCTCCTTACTACTATCCAAGAGCTACACCACCCACACACACCCGCCCACTCCGCCAAGCAGGTGAGTCATCCACCCCAACTCCACTCATCCACTCATACCCGAAACGCTGCACCTATCCTGCGAACAGGTGAGTACACCCACAAATACCCACCTCACCAACCATCATTCAACCACCCGTCCACATCACCATACACCCATGTCTACCCTCCCTCCACTAGCACCCAAGGCTGCCACAACGCTACGATACAGAATTCGGTACAATACAGTTGATATTTTGTTAAAAGTACGATATTTTCCTTAGTTTGCGGTAAATCCCAATTATAAAAGGTGGAGATTGAAAAGAAATTTCAGAGACGTGATGGGTTCACCTTCAAAGTTCCTATCGCTGATGCAGTTGTTATTGAGATGCAACGCATGAGCCAGTTTTATATATAGGGGGTGGTAGGAGAAAATATACGGGGTGGTAGAAGAAAATATAGGGGTGGTAGAAGAAAATATACGGGGTGGTAGGAAAAATTAGGGGGGGGTAAAAGAAAATTAAGGGGTGGTAGAAGAAAATATGGGTGGTAGAAGAAAATATAGGGGGTGGTAGAAAAAAATAGGGGGGTAGAAGAAAATATAGGGGTGGTAGAAGAAAATAGGGGGTGGTAGAAAAAATACTGAAAAACAGTTCTTGGGAGAAACTTTCCGAGCTTTCTCTGAAGAACCTTAAAATATTTTATATATAAATATAATATTATATTAATAAATATATATATATATATATAAAAATAATTATATATATATTATAATATATTATATATATATATTATATATATTTTTATATATTATATATAATAATGTTTGTGAGCTATGTTTGAAAACAAAATACATTATAAAGGATATACTGGTAGAAAAACAACTTTTAAGACATCTCAGATATTTAATCCAGCTCTCCGGCGGTGGGCCGTGAGAATGCTGCAGGCAGCTTTGGGGTCCTTGGTTTACGTGATGAGTTTTTCACCTAACTCTTTGAAGAATATTAAAACACACTTGCCCCATGCTCCGAGGGTCTCCGACCTTATTGGGACGCAGTTATAGCATTCTGGCAGCCTTCTGTATCTCTTGATGCTCAGGGACTCCCTGAAACTGGCAGCACCACCCCTTTCAGCTTCAGAGTATGGCAAGTAGGTGCCAACGAACACAGAGGCACAGGTACAGTCCCATGCAATCGGCTTACCATCCTTCCAGGGTAGCATGGTGACTCCATCTGGACGCTTTTGGCTTCCATCAGATTTCAGTACCTGAGGTTCCCGTTCTGTTGGGCAACGGACTGTGGCGAGACTTCCCTTGATAATGTCATTGACCTCATGTCCTGGCATACATCCCTTCTGACGTATGACAAACGAGACCATGTAACTCAATTAATCAGCTGACGCCCTGCAGCATATGCACCTGTGTTCGGCGAGTATGGGAGGGGTAGGAGGGGGGTAGGAGAAAGCTACATCAATCCAAATGCACAAGGAAATTAAATTCAAAACAACAATACAACACAAAACCGCTTGAACACACTCACATAATTTCAAAAAACAGACTAGTACACACTCTATTAAATAAAGTACGGCAATGAAAATTACACATACCAACAGGGTCCCATAACCCCTCACCGGGTCTATCCTCACAAAATTAAATTATACTTCTGTCTATCGCCACAACTAACAGTAAAAAGGCAAAAAGTGCAACATAGACATTTACGTGCAAAACGTTTCGCTCCCAGAGCTGACGAAGCTTCTGGAGAGAGAAACTGCCACAACTAAAAAAAACTGCACTTTCCTTTATTTAACATATGTATAATTCTACTGAGTTAAAACCACAAGACCCCATATAACTAACCCCGGGGATGTCCAAGCCAGGACCAAAATGAAGACCAGGACCACTGAAACCCAGGACCACTGAAGAGCCAGGACAACGAAAACCAGGACCACTGAAGACCCAGGACCACTGAAGGCCAGGGACCACTGAAGACCCCGGAACTGAAGAGCCCGGACCACTGAGAGCCCGGACCACTGAAGAGCAAGGGACCACTGAGAGCCAGGGACCACTGAAAGCAGGGACCACTGAAGAGCCATGGACCCACTGAAGAGCCAGGGACCACTGAAGACCGGGACCACAAGACCCGGGACCACCCGAAGACCGGGAACCACTGAAACCCAGGGACCACTGAAGACCCAGGACCACTGAAGGCCAGGACCACTGAAACCCAGGGACCACGAAGAGCAAGGGACCACTGAAGACCAGGGACCACTTGAGACCCAGGGGCCACTGAAAGACCAGGGACCATGAAGAACCCGGGACCACTAAACCCAGGGACCACTGAAGACCCAGGGACCACTGAAAGCCAGGGACCACTGAAGACCCAGGGGCCACTAAGACCAGGACCCGAAAGCCAGGACCAAGAGAGCAAGGGACCACTGACCGAGCCAGGGACCACTGAAGAGCCAGGGACCACTGAAGAGCCAGGGACCACTGAAGACCCAGGACCACTGAAGACCCAGGGCCACTGAAAACCCAGGGACCACGAAGACCCAGGGACCACTGAAGACCCAGGGACCCCCTGAAGAGCCGGGACCACTGAAGAGGGCCCGGGACCACTGAAGACCCCCGGACCACTGAAGAGCCAGGGACCACTGAAGAGCCAGGGACCACTGAAGACCCAGGGACCACTGAAGACCCAGGGACCACTGAAGACCCAGGGACCACTGAAGAGCCAGGGACCACTGAAGAGCCAGGGACCACTGAAGAGCCAGGGACCACTGAAGACCCAGGGACCACTGAAGACCCAGGGACCACTGAAGACCCAGGGACCACTGAAGAGCCAGGGACCACTGAAAAGCAGGACCACGAAAACCAGGACCACTGAAGACCCAGGGACCACTGAAGACCCAGGGACCACTGAAGACCCCGGGACCACTGAAGACCCCGGACCACTGAAGACCCAGGGGCACGAAGACCCAGGGACCACTGAAGACCAGGGACCCTGAAGACCCAGGACCACTGAAGACCCAGGGAACCACTGAAGAGCCAGGGACCACTGAAGACCCAGGACCATGAAGACCCCGGGACCACTGAAGACCCAGGGACCACTGAAGACCCAGGGACCACTGAAGACCCAGGGACCACTGAAGACCCAGGGACCACTGAAGACCCAGGGACCACTGAAGACCCAGGGACCACTGAAGACCAGGACCACTGAACCAGGGCCACTGAAGAGGGAGGGACCACTGAACCCAGGACCACTGAAGAGCCAGGGACCACTGAAGAGCCAGGGACCACTGAAGAGCCAGGGACCACTGAAGAGCCAGGGACCACTGAAGAGCCAGGGACCACTGAAAAAGCCAGGGGCCACTGAAATGCCAGGGACCCCTGAAGACCCCAGGGACCAACAGAAGAGTCGGGACCACTGAATAGCCAGCCACTGAGAGCCGGACCCCCTGAAGAGCCAAGGGGCCACGAAGTGCCAGGGACCACTGAAGAGCCAGGACCACTGAAGAGCCAGGGCCACTGAAAGCAAGGGACCACTGAAGAGCCAGGGACCACTAAGACCAGGACCATTAAGACCCCGGGACCACTGAAGGGGGCCAGGACCACTGAAGAGCCCGGGACCACTGAAGTGCCAGGGACCACTGAAGAGCCAGGGACCCTGAAGAGCCAGGACCACGAAGAGCAAGGACCACTGAAGAGCCAGGAACCACTGAAGAACCAGGGACCACTGAAGAGCCAGGGACCACTGAAGAGCCAGGGACCACTGAAGAGGCAGGGACCACTGAAGAGCAAGGGACCACGAAGAGCCAGGGACCACTGAAGAGCCAGGACCACTGAAAAAGGGAAGGACCACTGAAAGCCAGGGACCACTGAAGAGCAGGGACCACGAAGAGCCCCGGGACCACTGAAGAGCCAGGGACCACTGAAGAGCCAGGGACCACTGAAGAGCCAGGGACCAATGAAGAGCCAGGGACCACTGAAGAGCCAGGGACCACTGAAGAGCCAGGGACCACTGAAGAGCCAGGGACCACTGAAGAGCCAGGGACCACTGAAGAGCCAGGGACCACTGAAGAGCCAGGGACCACTGAAGAGCCAGGGACCACTGAAGAGCCAGGGACCACTGAAGAGCCAGGGACCACTGAAGAGCCAGGGACCACTGAAGAGCGAGGGACCACTGAAGAGCGAGGGACCAATGAAGAGACAGGGACCACTGAAGAGCCAGGGACCACTGAAGAGCCAGGGGCCACTGAAGAGCCAGGGACCACTAGAGCCAGGACCACTAAAAAGCCAGGGGCCACTGAAGAGGCAGGGACCACTGAAGAGCCAGGGACCACTGAAGAGCCAGGGACCACTGAAGACCCAGGGACCACTGAAGAGCCAGGGACCACTGAAGACCCAGGGACCACTGAAGAGCCAGGGACCACGAAGAGGCAGGACCACTGAAGAGCCAGGGACCACTGAAGAGCCAGGACCACTGAAAAGCCAGGCCATTAAGACCAGGACCACTGAAGAGCCAGGGACCACTGAAGAGGCAGGGACCACTGAAGAGCCAGGGACAACTGAAGAGCCAGGGACCACTGAAGAGCCAGGGACCACTGAAGAGCCAGGGACCACTGAAGAGCCAGGGACCACTGAAGAGGCAGGGACCACTGAAGAGCCAGGGACAACTGAAGAGCCAGGGACCACTGAAGAGCCAGGGACCATTGAAGAGCCAGGGACCACTGAAGAGGCAGGGACCACTGAAGATCCAGGGACAACTGAAGAGCCAGGGACCACTGAAAAGCCAGGGACCACTGAAGACCGATCACTGAAGAGCCAGGGACAACTGAAGAGCCAGGGACCACTGAAGAGCCCCGGACCTTGAAGAAACCGGACCACTAAGACCAGGGACCACTGAAGAGCCAGGACCACTGAAGAGCCAGGGAAACCACTGAAGAGCCAGGGACCACTGAAGAGCCAGGACAACTGAAGAGCCAGGGGGCAACTAAGAGCCAGGACCACTGAAGAGCCAGGGACCATTGAAGAGCCAGACCACTGAAGAGCCAGGGACCACTGAAGAGCCCGGACAACTGAAAGCCAGTGACCACTAAGAGCCAGGACCACTGAAGAGCCAGGGACCACGAAGAGCCAGACACTGAAGAGCCAGGACCACTGAAGAGCCAGGGACCACTGAAGGGCCAGGGACCACTGAAGAGCCAGGGATCACTGAAGAGCCAGGGACCACTGTAGAGCCAGGGACAGCTGAAGAGCCAGGGACCACTGAAGAGCCAGGGACCACTGAAGAGCCAGGGATCATTAAGAGCCAGGGACCCACTGAAGAGGCGGACCACTCAAGAGCCAGGGACCACTCAAGAGCCAGGGACCAATGAAGAGCCAGGGACCACTGAAGAGCCAGGGACCAATGAAGAGCCAGGGATCATTGAAGAGCCAGGGACGACTGAAGAGGCAGGGACCACTGAAGAGCCAGGGACCACTCAAAAGTCAGAGACCACTCAAGAGCCAGGGACCACTCAAGAGCCAGGGACAACTGAAAAGCCAGGGACCACTCAAGAGCCAGGGACCACTCAATAGCCAGGGACTACTGAAGAGCCAGGGACTACTGAAGAGCCAAAGACCACTGAAGAGCCAGGGACCAATGAAGAGACAGGGACCACTGAAGAGTCAGGGACCACTCAAGAGCCAGGGGCCACTCAAGAGCCAGGAACAACTCAAGAGCCAGGGACCACTCAAGAGCCAGGGGCCACTCAGGAGCCAGGGACTACTGAAGAGCCAGGGACTACTGAAGAGCCAAGGACCACTCAAGAGCCAGGGACAACTGAAGAGCCAGGGACAACTCAAGAGCCAGGGACAACTGAAGAGCCAGGGACCACTCAAGAGCTAGCGACCACTCAAGAGCCAGGGACCACTCAAGAGCCAGGACACACAAAAGCCAGGGACCACTTAAAGCTAGGGACCACAAAATCAGGACCACTCAAGAGCCAGGGATCACTCAAGAGCCAGGGACCACTCAAGAGCCAGGGACCACTCAAGAGCCAGGGACCACAAAAGAGCCAGGGATCACTCAAGAGCCAGGGACCAATCAAGAGCAAGGGACCACTTAAGAGCCAGGGACCACTCAAGAGCCAGGAGCCACACAAGAGCCAGGGACCACTCAAGAGCAAGGGACCACTCAAAAGCCAGGGACCACTCTAGAGCCAGGGACCACTCAAGAGCCAGGGACCACTCAAGAGCCAGGGACCACTCAAGAGCCAGGGACCACTCAAGAGCCAGGAACCACTCAAGAGCCAGGAACCACTGAAGTGCCAGGAACCACTGAAGAGCCAGGGGTCACTGAAGAGCCAGGGACACCCCCAAAGAGCAGGATCACTCAAGAGCCAGGAACCACTCAAGAGCCAGGAACCACTCAAGAGCCAGGAACCACTCAAGAGCCAGGAACCACTCAAGAGCCAAGAACCACTCAAGAGCCAGGAACCACTCAAATGCCAGGAACCACTCAAGAGCCGGGAAACCCCTCAAATGCCAGGGAAACCCCCAGAGCCAGACCACTCAAGAGCCAGGAACCACTCAAGAGCCAGGAACCACTGAAGTGCCAGGGACCACTGAAGAGCCAGGGACCACTGAAGAGCCAGGGATCACTCAAGAGCCAGGGATCACTCAAGAGCCAGGAACCACTCAAGAGCCAGGAACCACTCAAGAGCCAGGAACCACTCAAGAGCCAGGAACCACTCAAGAGCCAGGAACCACTCAAGAGCCAGGAACCACTCAAGAGCCAGGAACCACTGAAGTGCCAGGGACCACTGAAGAGCCAGGGACCACGAAGAGCCAGGGACACCCCAAGACCAGAACCATTCAAGAGCCAGGAACCACTCAAAGCCAGGAAACCCCTCAAGAGCCAGGGAAACCCCTCCCAAAAGCCAGGAACCACTCAAGAGCCAGGAACCACTCAAGAGCCAGGAGCCACTCAAGAGCCAGTAACCACTCGAGAGCCAGGAACCACTCAAGAGCCAAGAACCACTCAAGAGCCAGGAACCACTCAAGAGCCAGGAACCATTCAAGAGCCAGGAACCATTCAAGAGCCAGAACCACCAAGAGCCAGAACCAAATCAAAAGCCGGAACCACTCAAGAGCCAGAACCACTCCCAAAAGCCAGAACCACTCAAGGCCAGGGAACCCCTCAAGAAGCCCGAACCACGCCCAAAACCAGGAACCCTCAAGAGCCAGAACCCTCAAGACCAGAACCACTCAAAAGGGCCAGGAACCACTCAAAATCAGAACCACCAAGAGCCAGGGAACCACTCAAGACCAGGAACCACTCAAGAGCCGGAACCACTCCCAAAAGCAGAACCACTCAAGAGTCAGGGAACCCCAAGAGCCAGGAACCACTAAGAGCCGGAACCCACTCAAGAGCCAGGGAACCACTCAGAGCCAGGAACCACCAGGAGCCAGGAACCATCAGAGCCAGGACCACTCAAGAGCCATGACCACTCAGAGCCAGGAACCACTCAAGAGCCAGGAACCACTCAGAGCCAGGGAAACCCCTCAAAGCCAGGAACCACTCAAGAGCCAGGAGCCCCTCAGAGCCAGTAACCACCGAGAGCCAGAACCACTCAAAAGCCAGACCACTCAAAGCCAAAAACCACTCAGAAGCCAGGAACCACTCAAGAGCCAGGGAAACCCCTTCAGACCAGAACCATTCAAGAGCCAGGGAACCACTCAAGATCCAGGAACCCCTGGCCAGGAACCCGTCAAGAGCCAGGAACCCCCAAGAGCCAGGACCATTCAGGGCCGGAACCATTTTAGAGCCCGAACCACTCAAGATCCAGGAACCACTACAAGAGCCAGGAACCACTCAAGAGCCAGAACCACTCAAGAGCCAGGAACCCTTAAGAGCCAGGACCATCAAGACCAGGAACCACTAAGAGCCAGGAACCATACCAGCCAGGCAACCATTCAAAACCAGAACCCCAAGATCCAGAACCACTCAGAGCCAGAACCCACTCAAAAACCAGAACCACTCAAGAGCCAGAACCACTCAAGAGCCAGGGAAACCCCTCAAGAGGGCCCGGAAACCCCTCAAGGCCAGAACACTCAAGAGCCAGGAACCACTCAGAGCCAGGACCACTCAAGAGCCAACCACTCAAGAGCCAGGGAACCACTCGCCAGGAACCACTCAAGAGCCAGGGAAAATCAAAGCCGGGAAACCCCTCAAGAGCCAGGAACCACTCAAGAGCCAACCACTCAAAGCCAGGAGCCACTCAAGACCCGTAACCACTCAAGCCAGGACCACTCAAGAGCCCCGGGAACACTCCCAAAAGCCGAACCACCAAGAGCCGGGAAACCCCTTTAAGAGCCGGAACCACCAAGCCGGGAACCCTCAAGACCAGGACCACTCAAGACCGGAACCACTCAAGAGCCAGGAACCACTCAAAGCCAGGAACCACTCAAAAGCCAGGAACCACTCAGAGCCAGAAACCCCTCAAGACCAGGGAAACCCCTCAAGACCAGAAACCCCTCAGAGCCAGGAACCCTAAAGCCGGGAAACCCCTCAAGAGCCAGAACCACTCAGAACCAGGAAACCCCTCAAGAGCCAGAACCACTCAAGAGCCAGGGAAACCCCTCAGAGCCAGGAACCACTCAAAGCCAGGAGCCACTCAAGAGCAGTACCACTCAAGAGCCAGGAACCACCCAAAACCGGACCACTCAAGAGCCAGGAACCACTCAAGAGCCAGGAACCACTCAGATCAGAACCACTCAAGAGCCAGGAACCACTAAGAGCCGAACCTCCAAGCCAGAACCACTCAAGAGCCAGGGAAACCCCTCAGAGCCAGGACCCTAAGAGCCAGGAACCCTCAAGGGGCCATGAACCACTCCCAGGAACCCCTCAAGAGCCAGGAACCACTCAAGAGCCAGGGAAACCAAATCAGAGCCAAAAACCACTCAAGGGCCATGAACCCTCAAGAGCCAGGGAAACCCCTCAAACCAAGGAACCACTCAAGAGTACAAACAAAACCCCAAAACCACCTACGACCTAAAGTTATACTAACAGTTAAAGTACTTAACCTTCCATAGATGTTCCAGGACATCTTCCCAGCTACTAACACCCTAGTGGCGCTCTTGACATCTTCCCAGCTACTAACACCCTAGTGGCGCTCTTGACATCTTCCCAGCTACTAACACCCTAGTGGCGCTCTTTACAAACTTCCCAGCTACTAACACCCTAGTGGCGCTCTTGACATCTTCCCAGCTACTAACACCCTAGTGGCGCTCTTGACATCTTCCCAGCTACTAACACCCTAGTGGCGCTCTTGACATCTTCCCAGCTACTAACACCCTAGTGGCGCTCTTGACATCTTCCCAGCTACTAACACCCTAGTGGCGCTCTTGACATCTTCCCAGCTACTAACACCCTAGTGGCGCTCTTGACATCTTCCCAGCTACTAACACCCTAGTGGCGCTCTTGACATCTTCCCAGCTACTAACACCCTAATGGCGCTCTTGACATCTTCCCAGCTACTAACACCCTAGTGGCGCTCTTGACATCTTCCCAGCTACTAACACCCTAGTGGCGCTCTTTGACACTTTCCCAGCTACTAACAACCCTAGTGGCGCTCTTGGACATCTTCCCAGCTACTAACACCCTAGTGGCGCTCTTGACATCTTCCCAGCTACTAACACCCTAGTGGCGCTCTTGACATCTTCCCAGCTACTAACACCCTAGTGGCGCTCTTGACATCTTCCCAGCTACTAACACCCTAGTGGCACTATTGACATCTTCCCAGCTACTAACACCCTAGTGGCGCTCCTGGCATCTTCCCAGCTACTAACACCCTAGTGGCGCCCTTGACTCTTAGCAGCTACACACCTAGTGCGCTCTGACATCTTCCCAGCTACTAAAACCGAGTGGCGTCTTGACATCTTTCCCAGCTACTAAGCACCCTATGGCACTATTGACACTTCCCACACTAACACCCTATGGCCTCCTGCATCTTCCACTACAACACCTAGTGGCTTTGACATCTTACACTACTAGCACCAGTGCGCTCTTGGACACTTTCCCAGCTACTAACACCCAGTGCGCTCTTGACATTTCCGAAATAGCACCCTAGTGGGACATTGAACATCTTCCCAGCTTAACACCCTAGTGGCGCTCTTGACATCTTCCCTACAACCCCCCTAGGGGCCTCTTGACATCTTTCCCCGCACAACCCCAAATGGCGCCTTGACAAACTTCCCAGCTACTAGCACCCTAGTGGCACTCTTGACATCTTCCCAGCTACTAACACCCTAGTGGCGCTCTTGACATCTTCCCAGCTACTAGCACCCTAGTGGCACTATTGACACTTCCACTACTAACACCCCAGTGGCGCTCCTGGCATCTTCCACTACTAACACCCAAGTGGCGCTCTTACATCTTCCCAGCTACTAACACCCCATGGGGCTCTTACATTCTTCCCAGGGTACTAACACCGTGCGCCTTGACATCTTCCCAGCTACTAGCACCCTAGTGGCACTATTGACATCTTCCCAGCTATTAACACCCTAGTGGCGCTCTTGACATCTTCCCAGCTACTAACACCCTAGTGGCGCTCTTGACATCTTCCCAGCTACTAACACCCTAGTGGCGCTCTTTTACACTTTCCACTACAGCACCCAGTGCACTCTTGACTTCTTCCACTACTAAACCCTAGTGGCGCTCTTGAACTTTTTCCCAGCTACTAGCACCTAAGGCACTATTGAAACTCCCCAATACAACACCTAGTGGCGCTCTTGACATCTTCCAGCTACTACACCCTAGTGGCGCTCCTGCATCTCCCAGCTACTACAGCCTAGTGGCCCATTTTTCACATCTTTCCAGCTACTAAACACCCAGTGGCGCTCCTGGCATCTTTTCCAGCTACTAACACCCTAGTGGCGCTCTTGACATCTTCCCAGCTACTAACACCCTAGTGGCGCTCTTGACATCTTCCCAGCTACTAACACCCTAGTGGCGCTCTTGACATCTTCCCAGCTACTAACACCCTAGTGGCGCTCTTGACATCTTCCCAGCTACTAACACCCTAGTGGCGCTCTTGAAACTTCCCGCTACTAACAACCCTAGTGGCGCTCTTGACATCTTCCAGCTACACAAACCCCATGGCGCCTTGACATCTTCCCACAACTAACAGTGGGCTCTTGACATCTTCCCACTACTAAAACCCTAGTGGCGCTCTTTCATCTTCCCAGCTACTAACCCCTAGTGGCGCTCTTGACATCTTCCAGCACTAACACCTAGTGGCGCTCATTGACATCTTTCCCATCTATAAACCCTAGTGGGCTCTTGCATCTTTCCCCGCTATAACACCCTAGTGGCGCTCTTGACATCTTCCACTACAACACCCTGTGGCGCTCTTTACATCTCCCAGCTACTAACCACCTAGTGCGCTCTTGACACTTCCACTACTAACACCCTAGGGCGCTCTTTACATCTTCCAACTAATTAACCAACCTAGTGGCGCTCTTGACATCTTCCAGCTACTAACCCCTATGGGGCTCTTGACATCTTCCCGACTACTAACACCCTATGGCGCTCTTACATCTTCCCAGCTACTAACACCCTAGTGGCCCTTACATCTCCCAGCTACAACACCCAGTGGCGCTCTTGACATCTTCCCACTACTAACACCTAGTGGCGCCTTGAATCTCTCCAGCTACTAACACCCTAGTGGCGCCTTGACATCTTCCCAGCTTTCTAACAAACCTAGTGGCACTATTGACATCTTCCAGCTACTAACCCCTAGGCGCTCTTTACAACTTCCCAGCTATAACACCCTAGTGGGGCTCTTTGACATCTTCCACACTAACACCCTAAATGCGCTCTTGACATCTTTCCAGCTACTAACCACCCTAGGGGCGCTCCTGCATCTCCCAGCTACAACACCCTGTGCACTATTGAATCTTCCCAGCTACTAACACCCTAGGCGCTCTTGACATCTCCCCAGCACAAACACAATAGTGGCGCTCATGACATCTTCCCACTACTAACACCCTGTGGGGCCCCCCTGGCACTTTCCCCGCACTAACACCCTAGGCAATATTGACATCTTCCCAGCTACTAACACCTATGGCGCTCTTGACATCTTCCCAGCTACTAACACCCTAGTGGCACTATTAACATCTTCCCAGCTACTAACACCCTATTGGCGCTCTTGACATCTTCCCAGCACTAACACCCTAGTGCGCTCTTGCATCTTCCCAGCTAGCTAACCACCCTAGTTGGCGCTCTTACACTTCCCAGCACTAACACCTAGTGGGCTCTTGACATCTTTCCCAGCCACTAACACCTAGTGGCTCTCTTGACATCTTCCCAGCTAAAATAACACCCTAGTGCGCCGTTTTACATCTTCCCAGCTACCACCCAGGGCGCTCTTTACAATTTCCCAGCTGCTACACCTAGTGGGGCTCTTTACATTTCCCACACAACACCCTAAGGCGCTCTTTACAT